AAGAAAACCAAATTCTATATCATATGAGATCAATCTCAACTCAGAAATAAATTTTCTTGTACATCCTCTCACATAAACTCCATGTCTCTAGAAATCCTAAAGAGTACTCTCTCTAGACACCCTGGAGAGAAACCCAATAGTATAAAAAAAAAATCGTTACATCTTGCTCTCCTCCTATCAAAATCCAGAGAAACATGAGATATTCATAGAAGAATCAAACCCTAAGAACTCCTTTTTATACTAGGATGCTTTATCCCACTGGGATATTAACTCCAAGAATCTCAAAATGCTTATTAATCCTAACATAAATATATCTTCACTTAATATCTGAAATGATCATTAATATGTAACATGATGCTGGAATTATCAAAATTTGTTGCCTTGATATAGCTATATTTGGTTATGTTTTAGTAAAATTTTGTTTTTGTTTTAGGTAAATTCTCCGACTCAAACATATAATCATAATAAAGATGCAGCCTGCATGAAAGACAAACTGAACTTGATTTATCAATTCCATTTCTGCTCCTACTTGCTGCATATGAGAGCTGACTTCTCATAGTCAATGACTATGTGGTTGGATTATAATGCTTCAGTGACTGAAAAAGTTGGGTAGATATTTAAAGACTCCTATGATCATGGACTAATGGTATATGAATGATGTATACCTTTTACAGTTCTCAGTATACGGTAAGGATAATTACAAAGGGAAGAGGGGCGAATATTGACATGATGTAATTTTCAGTTTTTCTTGGTCATGTTTCATAAACAGTTGGGGTATTGTGCTTTCTTACTACGTTTCACTTGGTCATGTTTTATTTTCTGAGACATAATGAACTGTGATTTCTCCTTGGAAATGCATGGTCTATAGAACTTTTTAACAAGAATGTGTTGGAAAACTTGAAAGGCATATCATGCTTTCCGCTGAATTTTCGACACAAACAGAGCTGGTGGCACCCGATGACGACGATCAGCAGCAAAGGAGCTAATATTCACGGGTCGAAGGATTAACGGCAAAGAAGCTCTGTCCATGGGTACAAAAATTTCTAGCATCTGACGTCTTTAATTTTGACACACCTTTACTAATTGTATTAGGTTCGTTTGTGGCAGGACTTATCAATCACTGTGTTCCTTCTGGAGATGCGTACCACAAGGCTCTTCGTGTTGCCTGCGTACCACAATTCTTACGAACAGCCAAGAGGATTAAACTAATGCTTCAACGAAGTATCATGACAAGAAGAATTTTTACACAATTACCTTCCCCATTCAGTACTCTTTTTTTATCTTTGGATGGATTCTAACCAGGGCCTATCTTTGAAAGGGTCCTTTGGCTACAAGGATGGCTTAGCAAGCTATCAACAACGGCATGGAAGGAGGAGCTACGTCCTCGGCAGTGGGTGGGGAAGAAGAATGTTATGGGCGACTACTGAACACAGCAGACCGTCTTGAAGGACTGGCTGCATTCACAGAGGAGAAGCGAAAACCCAAATACCTTGGCAAATAGAATCACACAATCTAGTTCTTGTTCGGCTGCTTGTTGTAACTTAAATCAGCATAAAGATACAAAGGTGTTCGAACCATATAATTTTTATTCTTTTTATAAGTATCATTTGGACATAACAGAGTCTTACGTTAACTGGTAATTGAGACCATGGAAGAAATTTTCGACAGATGTCTACCTTTCCTGGTGGAATGCTTATTCTGAACTAGAATGTAATAACTAAATGAAGTTTCAGATATTTCACCAACACAACATCCAGATGCAGCAAGTAGGAGCAGAAATGGAATATGACCGATGCAAATCGGATGAAGTTATCAGCTGAAACAGCGACTAACAGACATTTGCTGTTAAAGAACCCATAATTCTCATCAATATATACTACAGGGACGGAAGCAGATAAGTCACAGAGCCTCATTAGCAATAGATAGGGTTAACATCGAGAGCCTACTAAAAAAATTAAGTGCCTCGAGTTTTGACGATACTCCAGTCAACTATATAAGGGTACAAGTAAAATGTCTTACAGAACCTTGGACTTGATACCTGTAGTTATTTTTATACCCGGAAAAACAGGAAATTAGAATCCGATGTCGCCTAATGCTACCGGATGAACCTGGGGCCAGAACATGTGGGCAAATGTTAGAAATAAACCAACAAAATAAGACACCTGAATGAATAAGAAAATTGCTGCAGAAAGGGATTGCAATAAAAACAAGGGCATCATAAGGCGCATGGTTCTGCCACAACAGGGTTCCGTGAGGGTCAAATGACAGCCTTCAATGTACGGAAAGAAGCACATGACCTTTTTCCTGAACGCAAATGAATGCAAGTGAAAACTGGGAACTGCTCTAAACAACACTAAATTTGCTCTGCATTGTTCTTTATGGCATAAAACAGCCCAACGAAATGAAAATAATGATTACGTTGAAGAAGAGCATCTAAGTCGTGAAAAACTCGAAGTTTGGGCAGGCAATCAACCTAGCAAATTCATGCTCAGTAATGCCTAGAATAATGAAAACTTACAAGTTAAGAGGTTAATTTGAGGTGCCACTCCATATCCCTAGTTTGTATTCATGATTTGGCCCTCAGCTGTTCAAGACTCTGCAGATAAGACTTCAACAAGGCATATTCATGACGCATCCGCTCCAATCGAGATTCCACCATAAGCATTTCTTCCTTGAGGTAGTTAAAGCGCTTCTCTAACCACTCTACGTTCTCCATATTATAGTTTCCATGAGTTACCAGATGCACCTCAGGAACTCTAGCTAGAAGAAGAATGATGCTTAACTGCAAGCAACCGCCAAAGATGCAGAATCAATCGATTTGCAAACTATAGAACATATTCAATTGCTTATACTCCCAAAACTCATTGTAGAACAGAACATTCCAAGTAAACATATAAGTTACATGCAGTTCAGAAAAAAGAAATCATCAAATAAGGATAACTTAGTGGCAACTCAGACAAATAATAGTTGTTGTCAAAAGAAATTCTCAAAATAATTTTTTTATATAAACTGAAGCTCATAATACCCAGACTTGGTACCAACTTCTGCACAGACATCAAAATCATGATATCAGTCAGTTCATTCTTCCATTGTCAAGAATTGATTCATTTATTATAAAGAAAGGCTTAAATGTGATTGCAGCAAACATAATTTTTCATGTCCGTTTTTGCTATTGTTGTTTGTCAGATTGCTATAAAATGTTTCTCACTGTCACCGAGAACTCTACCAAATTATTTAAAAGCAATCAGTTTAATTATTCAAATAAAAAATGTTGTACAGCAATATCTTGTTACAACAAGAGTTTACTGTTCTTATCAAAGAATGGCATCCAACTATTCCTATTTGCCTAGGAATACATAACTCATATTTGAGGAAATGCTTATCCGCCATAATTTCCTCTTAAATAATGTCCTCTAAGTTGGCTTAATGATGCTGAGAGATAGGATTAAACTCTTCATAACTTCTAGTGCATTAAATCACGACAAAAGATATCATTCATGTTCCATGAGAATGTTTTAACTCTATGCAGTGTAAGGACCACGAAAAGAAGCAAAGAACTTGCCTGCATTAGGATAAAGATAATAAATGCCACAGCTAAAATCGTAGCTAGCAGACTTTGTGCCTTCATATGTGAACAGAAGGTTGCCCATGGTTCTCTAAATATACTCATCAGAGGTGAAAACAGTTGAGACTTTTCTTTCATGTGATTGTCAATCCCTGAATTACAGTTTGTTATCTCATGGATGTTCCTTGAAAGATATGTAGAATTTAATGTTGAATTTTGTGTTGACCCTTCAAGCTTTGGGGGACTTCCTAATTCACTGTTGTTCTCATGAACCATTGATGCATCCTGCTCTGCTAGTCCTGCTATTATCATCAGAAAAGATACCCGTAATTACAAGAAGGAATATATCAACCAATTGTAGCTAATATATTGCCTACGAATAGTTTAAAAAATATATCTATCTTGAAAGATATAGAACACAAACCTTTCGATTGTCCAATATTCTTTTCCTTTAAAGTTTCATGAGCCTAGAACATGTAATGATGTCAATATTAAAAATCAGTAATTTCCTTCCAAAATTTAGCATGGAATACATGAGAAAGGTAAGTTTCATCATTTGACACATACGATGCTTATCCAAGTAGCGTAAACTTCTTTACTCTCCTCCCTAGTTGATTGCTCGATTTTCCCTGTAAAGTCATTCTTAAATGGTTATATAGGTCTTAACAGTTAAATGCTTGATAGTAAGAAAAATAAATAGGAGCAAATGATCAGGGTATAGATATTTTAGCATCAATTGTGACCGACAGTAAGTAGTTCAGACCTCAAGGCCTGCTGTCTACAAAAAATTGATGCAGAAATTTCTCTCTTCATGTATGCCCCAATGAGAATATAGTGGAACACAAGCAGCTGTTGTATATATTAGGATGAGTTTTGCCATTTGCAAAATGATAAATTCCCTAGAAGGTACTAAATTGCTTCATATTTTTGACAAGAACCACCCATATAGCTGCACATCAAATGAAGAGAACTAAATGTTTCAACATCATGCACATGTGACCAACCTTGAAATCCAAAGGCCGCACTCCATCAAAAGTTTCAACAAGGACTTTATGTATGAACCCTAAATGGAGAACGTAAGGAAAATGATTCCATGACGAAAAATAGTGGTGGCACGTGATCTTTAGCATCAGTAAGTTTGATGATAGGGTAAATTAACATGATATAGGATCTAACATTGCAGTTGTGCTGGTAATGATGCTCATAGTACAACCTCAAGTTTATCTACCACATCAACTTTACATTTTATCATGAATAAATCAACACTTAACATACCCTTGAGCATGCTCCAATAAAACACATCTAGTTAACAGAAATCAATAAAAAATTCTGCAATTGTACCCTTAAACATGGTCTTCTTTGAAAATGCCACATTAGAATATACTTTCACAGTGCAGCTATTTTCTCCCTTGCTAGCTTGTTCCACATCCCAGATCCCCTGTACAAGAAACACAAGAAATGAATACCATTTAGAACAGCTTTCAAATGAAAGACTTAAACATGACAATGTGAATATAAGACCAAAAGTCCAACATGAAATAAAGTTCGACGCAAAAGGAAATATTATATCAAACGGCAGAAAAGCTGGCTTTTTCCCTGGAAGATTGGCCACCATTATGTACCATCTTTTGAAAAGACACTAAGACGGAAAAGTTAAAAGAATGTCACAGCAGACTTCTTACTCCCTCTCTCGTTGGCCCACGTCTGAAAATTAACGTCTCTCTGATATTATTAAGGCAGACAATGGAATGTATCTTGTCTCTCACCCTAGTACTCTACCAAAGATTTTTTTTTCCAATTAGCAAAAAACCAACAGAACATTGTACATTATGTTTGCTAAACAAAATCCAGCCGTATTAAACAAGATTTATTTGAATTTGAATTGGCCTGCAGATGCCTACAGAAGTGCAAGAACACTTCTCAATTATCCAACAATGACAATTAATAAGAAAGCTCTTTTCCTTTGAAGGCCAAGAATTTGAATTGGCTTGCATACTCCTACTGTCCTACAAAAGTGCAACAATTCCATATGTCCTTGAAACCCTTTAAAATATGTCCTGAACCCCTGAAAGTTGACCACCAATCACCTAGCAATTAAAAAGAACTATTGGGTAACTAAATGATGACTTCACCCATAACTTACATTATTATTAACATTGACGACGGGGGTTATGATCTATCAATGGCATGTCAGAACTACTAAGCCACCAATATGGATGACACATTATCACCAAAGGAACGCCACACATAGCATGATGTAGCAGGTGATTCTATACATTTCCACTTTTGTGTAAAATGCTATTGTCGCTCTTGTATTTGACCATATATAGTTCCAAATACAGATTGGACCTGACACCTATCAGCCAATATTTACTTGTCACACCAATATTTACTTTTGTTATTATTTCTGTGACACCAAGTGATATAGATTGGGGAGGGTGAGTCATGATGTTATGGTAAGATTTGCTCTTTTTTAATCTAAATGAGCGAGGTTCAAGTGGTGAAAATAGTTTCTCTACTTGTGTGGCAAAGCTGCATTGATGGGAGACTTATGCACTAGGCTATCAATTTTTTTTTGGCGAACAATACAAGTCAATATACCTCCCAATACAAAACATAATAACAATCTGATTGATTGTCAATGCTGGTGATAGACTGCTGTTTGAGACCTTGGGTAAGAATTGGTATGATAGTGTGATGTGATAACAGGAGTTACCAACAGGCTTTCCAAATCTCAAAGTGAGAATATCAAATATTTACAATTTTGGATTATGCTAGATATATATCTAGCTTGTGGGGTTACATTTGAAAATGCCTGTTTTGCAAATATATGCCTCAAGAATCAGCAATTTGTATATTTGAACCTTCGAAGCAACAATTTATGTACTTAATACCCTTCAGAAACTGAATAGATTAACAGATTTTGACAACTTGTTCGCCATCATAACAAAAAAGACACAAACATTGATGAGAATAAATATTCAAATAATCTTTCTAAGGAGATGAGAAAGAGGGACAACAAGACAACTACGCAAATTGCATACCATCTTAAGTCTAATGCACATAGTAAATGATTGTATCAACAAAATGAGGGATAACAAGTCCTATACTTCTGGTTATATAAGAGCAATAGTGCAAATAAATCTGATTTCCAAAAATGTAAGAAAACAAAGAATTGAGCAGCCATATGCATTCTCACTTTGAGTGTTGATATCTATCATCAAAAAGCACCATATATTCTAAGGTTGATGCTACTCCAATTTTATGGTGCTTTGGTGGCCAATAATTGTGGACCAAGAAACAATTCAGATAAAAAGCTAACAGTCATAGATTTCCTCAAGTTTTATACTAAAATTTAAAATGACTAATTTTATATGCCTCAGGTTATAATTTAACAATTACTTTCTTAATCTTAGAAAAGCTTTTAAGCCCTACTTTGCATGAACACAAACTCATGAGGAATTTTTGTTTTGTTTTTTTTTATTATGTTGCTTTGAGCCTCTAGCAGTTTTATCCTTAGAATTAAAACTCTGAAGTACGTAAAATTTGTCTAATTCTGCAAAATAATACACAGGATACAAACTAATGCAAAATTTGTTATTTTGCTCAATTTTTTTGAATTTATTACTTTTGTAATAGTTTATAGCTTTTTTTTTATCAAATCTGATGTATTAAGCTTCTAAAACTTATCCAGAAGTATCAGATCCAATAGTTTGAGGTCCACCGGGAAGGGAAGAAACACATTAAGATCACCAGGTAATAACAGCAACCACAGATTAAGCCCATGCCTGACTGCTTATAGTCCTCAAATACACCAGTTGAACTTATCCTCAAAATTGCTTAGTTCTAAAAGCATGATCCAAAGTATATCTAAAAAGAAGCGCAAATAAATGATTGACATCCCCTGATTGTTAAAAATGCTAAACAATTTTCAAAATGATGATAAGTATAAGAATGATAAGCTTTAGATTAGATTTTGCACCTCAACTTGGAAGTAATCCCCATATGGCACATTATCAATTTGTTGCGATGTTTCGATTACCAAATGGCTGTGGTCAAACAAAAAGATCACTTGGTTAAGAATCATTGACCAAACAAAGCAATATTTTATTAATGAAAAATTCTCAAAGAAAGCCTAGTCATGAATATAGAATTAGCAATTCAACAACATGCATTGTGATTGTGATCAGCACAGCTACAATGCTACATCACTAATCAAATTGCATTACTGGAACCAGACTTCAGTTTTAGTGGAAAAACCAACTAGTATAATGATATAATAAGAGAAGTTATATTTTTTTTCCTTAATGATAATTTCCACATTTACCAGTCACCTAATCACTCAGCTATAGCAGAAATAAATGTAGGAATGCGAAACTTAGAACTTCAACGTGCATCTAAAATTCAGTGGTCTAGACTGAGTCAAAAAACCGGTGTGTGACATATTAGACAACTTTAGCAACTGCCAGAAATCTACAGTTTCAGATTGGTTTCATCAAAATCTTGTCTTTTGTTTATTGATGACTTCTGAGTAATGAACTACATACTCGTGTATATTATGAACTCTGACCACTGAACCACTATATGATGAGTGTATCATTTACGTCAAAAATCCAGAGGAAAAAAAGAGTTCTGGCGTTGGTAAATAAGGACAGGCAGGACCGGGTTGCACCAGCACAAATAACATGTGTTTAGCAATGAGTTCTAGCATAGGATGAGGGTTGTTTAATATAATATAGTACCATACAGCATGACATTTTGCTACCCATGACCATCATACTAGCAAGAACAGTTCTTCAATCTTAACATTCAATTCTACTAAACCAGAAACTCTAAGTATGCTGACCTTCTAACCAAGTAAAAATATTAAACAAATAAAATCTTGTTCTCCAAAGCCTATCAGCCTTTCCAGTCAAGTGATATTGACTAACTTAAATGAGAATTAAGAGGCAAAAACAATCATTTTAATAGGATAAGGCAAGGTTCGCCATATCGTAGAATACCACATGGTATGGGCAGTATATATCGATCCGATACAGGTGGTACATACAGATTTGTTGATATGCCCCACCATACCATGTGTCGGTATGTTGGTACAGATCGGTACATACCATACCCGTAGCCGGTTGGTACAACGATACGGACCGGTAAGACGAATCATGGAATAAGGTATTGTCTAGTTAAGTCAAATAGGCAACAATAGAAGTACTGCAGTAGTAGCACATCCTGGTTTCCATCATAAGAGGGCAAGAGGAAACTGCCAACAAATATCAGTATTTATGCAACACTGACCACTTCTTAAATAACCAAGTCCTAGTGACACATCTAATCCCAAAATAAAGCTGTTCTTTCTGATCTTCTCAAAGGCCACGGTGTTGGTGGAATATAGAATATATCCTCTGTAATATCCAAGACACAGAACCTTAATATACTAAATTCAACAACTGCCAAACTTAATACCTAATTTATGGATCACAAATGAGCAATGTTCAATTAAAGTTCAAATATTTCATTTTTATCCAGAAAGGAAAGATATATTAGATCTTTAAAGTTAAACGTCTACAAAATGACCTCAAAAGGTCAGCATACAAAATGGATTCAAAATCCAAAGGAAATCTCTCCTTCCAAATAAACCTCCATTCTATCTAATCTACCTCTAGTTGCAGCCCAATAGGCAGTTTGGTTGCCTTCTCTAAAACAGTGAGAACAAGAGAAGAACAAAAAATGACTGATCAGATCAAAGATATCAGCCAAGGTATTTGACATGTCCCGTGGTGGGAGTTGATGTTTAGTGATGCAATTTACAAGAATTGCTGAATCAAGCTCCAACTGGATTTTTAGGCCAACTGGACTTTTAGGAATTCCACTTGTAGGGCCAAGATGAGACCATATTTGGCTGCTAAAGCTTCACATTGCAGAGGCGAGCATCATGGCACATGCTTGAAGCCAGCAGGTATTTATGAATTTACGAATTATTGATGATGATGCCACACAATACAGACAGTTAATTTTTTCCTAGGGAACCAAATCAACCCTGTTCCAGTTGATACTTGATAACAAGCAGAAATCCTTTAAAAGGGTGATTGCAGCAGTTCTTAAAGTGCAACTGGTGAAGAAAGAACCAGACCAAGTTGGTTCAGACCAGATTTAAGGTAAATTTAGAAATTTTTTATTTGTTTTCAGTCAATTCATTTATGGTCCTAGAGCTCTTGCTGCCACAAGTTAGATAGCTCTCTTCATGACTAGCTACTAAGATGCTGATCAGAAAAGTGAAGAGGATGCAGCAGCAGGAAGTGATTGAGCAATCTACATTTAAAAAAAGGTTTTCACATTTCCTTAAAAGAAATACATGAAGTTGTATGATATATCATTTTCTTTTATATAAAATATGGGCCAAATTGAATAGGAGAAGAGAGCATTCCAAATCTATCATAATAAATTGAAAGTTACTGACCACAGTACAAAGGTGTACCAATGTACCACCCGTACCGATCCTCTATCGGATCAGTACATACTGCCCATACCGATCGGTACGGTATAGTATAGCAACTATGGATAGAACACAATTAAGTGGATGAGAATCCTGGAACTATCAATGTCTATCATTATACCAAATGTATCTGGTGCCTATGAACCCTAAACCAGTTAAACACATCACAAAAATGAAGTTTCTGAAATTTCAGACCAAAAAGGTTGGAGAGAAGGTCCCACCCAATTTATAATAAGATGAATACATTCAATTAAAATTTCACCAAAAAACATGGTATATTATTTGTGGATGTGGCACCAGGTCGGGTGCCACAGATTTCATCCAAACCCAAACCTGACTAGGTATTTAGAAATCTGAACACAAATCAAACCCAAATCAGTTGCCTAGTTGCCTACCATTCCCATTCCAAATCCTATTAAAGGGTTAATGAACCCGGTTTAAGTGAGTCCAGTAGACTCAGGTATCTGAAATAACCCAACTCGTTGTCACCCTATCTCACACCAGGAATAACAGTAGATGGGGCACCCAGGAGATAATTATCCAGGTATTTGAATCCAATAAGAGTTTCATTTTCCTAAGTGAACCTGTGACAAACTCTATTAAAGGATAACCCAACCTGGTTTAACAGGGTTTGGTAAACTACAACTAGAAAAATTTGACTCATTGCATCCTGGGTAGACCAGGATAACCAAAAACACTTGACTAATCATCATCCCTAGTTGTCCCTATGCAACTAGAAAAACCCAAGTCAAAGGTTGCACTCAAGAAAAAAGAGAAATTGCAAGAAAGCATGCACAATAATCTCAAAACTTCCTGTCTCATAGTATCTTAATAACTTAACAGGACTACCCATTCACAAGTCCCTCTGGATAATGAAAAACAAAACAATGAGGCTATAACAAAAAAATTTGGAATTTCTAAAAGAACAAAAGAGTGGCATAACGATTTTCCTTTTACTTATGTGCCTCTTTGAGGGCAAGCCTAGCAATGTTATTCCTTTGCGATTTAGAAGATCAGGGTTCGAGTCATAGAAACAATCTCTATCTCTACATTTAGAGGTAAGACTATAAACATTCACCTCTCACAAACCTCACCAATCCCTCGTAAACTAAGTACTCATGTGCATCTATGAGATGAACAAAACTTCCTAACCTAAGTAGACATTGTCTAGCCATTATTTTGAAAAGAGTAGAAAAGATAAAATTTTCTACTTGTAACTAGCCTTACGTACATCGGACAACTCTATTCCATAGTTTAGGAATTTTGTAACAATAGTACTGTGCTAATGGAAGAGGGTAAGCCATAGTGTCATGGTGTCAGGGCAACATCACTTATTTGCAATCTAGGAGACTAGAATTGACTCACAGAAATAGCCTATTTAATTGTAAGGGTAATAAGGCATACTGTCGTGGACGACTATTGCACGCCCACAACACGTTCGTCAATAAACCGTTCGTCGCTTATGTTTGCTTGTACAGTTGTTCAGCACTATGTTTTGCCTAGATTTTGTGTGTTTTTCCTTCGTTTTTGCAAGCTTAGGGAGTTTGCAAGGTTGTACAGTGATTGCTCATCGAGCAGAGCAAAACTGATCCAAACCTTCCCCGTTTTTGCATGTCGCAGCTTGATTTCTCAAGACTACGGTGTGAAACATCACCCATCACAACACCTTGGAACCCTCCAAGTGGCACAGGGATAGATGGGGTTCTAGGGTAGCATTGGACCCTATTTAGATTCATATGCTTGTACGCAAAGTGTGCATAGTCTTTCCTAACACCCCAACACTCGATTGAGCTACCATTTGTGGACTTGCGGTTGTTTTTTTTTTTTTTTCTTCCAAACTTCTTGTTTTCTCCATGTATTCCAACTATTTGCTGAATTGCTTGAATGCTATGTTTGAGCAAGTCATCGAAACTTGTCTGTCACTCATCTTTGAAACTAAACATCATTTATTTTTTGCCGGTACTTTGGGACCTATGCAATGTTACACTTAGACGGACCCTATGCATTCGAATATTGGTAGAGTGTCTCACAACTTAAGCAATTCTAGCTAAGTAGATAATACGTTGAGTCGTTGACCCTCCATAGATGTCACATTGGGAAGAACCTTGCGTACAGGGTTGCCCTTTTTTCTAGGATGCGCTGAAAGAAACTCTAATAGTCATTAAACATTGTTGATCTTCAACAAAGCCTTCCACTATTAAACTGTGGTCTATAGCAGGTCAAACAACAACAGGAAATGCTTAAATAATGATGATAACATCAATTATGATAATTCAAAAATATATACAAAAGAATATACATGTATCACCTGTTTCTGAACACGTGAAATTTCTGGACCTCCTGACAGTTCCCAAATTTAGCACCTTAAATACGACTAAAATAATCAAGACAGGTATTTTTTGAAAGCAGAAGCAGTGAAAGTGCACAGTACAACTCCACAAGTATGAATCTAAAATAGTGCCAATGTAAATGAGGAAAATTTCACCATACCAAGATATACTTTGACAGGATGCAGAAATGAAACATTGCGGGTATACCCAAATTGTTCGTGCCTATGCCAAGAAGTGCACTGAAAATCTGATGCATGAACATACAAAATAATTTCAGGACCATCTACCACTTTCAAAGATAAAACAAGTAACAAAATCAAAACATCTGCCTTAAACTGAGCTTTTTACCCTTGTCACCACATCTTGTATGGAAATCCTTCAAAAAGTCAGCAGCACGATCAGAGACAAATAGGCTGAAGAAATCCTCCACAAGGAGCTAATATCCATAAAATTTGTATGTTATTAGGAAGTCTATGGAGCATGATGGAACTAGTGTCTCAATAGATATAATTTCTTCATTACCGGAAACTTTGACTCAGCAACAATTGCAAAATGTTCAGGTACTGCAATGTTAAACCAAGCAAATTCCATCGGTTGATGCAAAAGAGAAATAAACGGAGAAGAAAGTAACTATTTTCTGATAATACAGAAACTCAGAAACAGAAAGATTTTCCTCCCAAAAAAAACAATTATTACATGAAAAAGTTCTTAAAAGTGTTCATATATCATGAATAAATTGTGACATGACATACCCTGACAGATGCCAGTCACTACGAACCTTTAGGAGCATCAATGTCCTCGATGGTCCAAGAAAAAGGATTTTGAGATAATGACTTGTTAACATTTTCTTCACCTTCATTCTCCTGAATTTCCAAAAGCCTTATGGAAATGTCGCTGTCAACTTTACCATTAGGGATAGATTTAAATTCTTCTGACAATTTGGCATCCTTACTTCTGGTCCAAAGAAAAGTATTAAATCAATATATGGTGATAATAGAGAATCCCACAGGCCGCAGCTAATTTTCACAAGCATAACCTGTTCGAAGACGATGAATCATCTAGCAATGCTTTACCTCCCTTCACTTTGTCAAATATAATAATGGCATCATCTTGACTGCTGGCCTCCAATTTTGTATCCTAAAGAGAAACAGGGTAATAATGCATAATTGATTCATAAGTTGAATAATTGAAACAAAGGAATTCTATAATGGAATGCATATGTAAAAGCTTCTAATAATAGAGTAAAATAATCAAATAATCGATTTCTGCAACTACAACTTGACCTCATTCTCAATAGGAGGAAATCATCCACCTTCTTAATTGCTAGTTTAGCTTGATCCATAAGTACAACTGTATTAAATTCTTGAACATAAAATTTAGTTGTAGTTTCAACTCCTACAAGATGGAAAACCATGGAATTCCATGAATATATCAAATAAATCCAAGCACTTGTATAATGTGAAAGTGCCTTGAACCAGATCTCTTATATAACATGGCACAGCTGTATCTTTTCCAACACGGGATAATGAAAAATAACATCAATAGTGTTAGGTATGTGATTCTTTCTGTCAAAAAGAACTTGACATCTAAATTAGAAAATGACAAATTACAATAACTTTCACCTCTATAAGACATGGCTTCTTAAAGAAACAGAAGTTACTATTGTGCGAAAAGTATCCTATTTTTAATAGTTTGTTATTCCATAAAACCTCAGTGAAGTAGAAGTTTTTTTTAAGTCGTGGGTGAATTGTTCCCTATTTTTAAAAGCTCAACATTCCATAAAAGCTCAATAACAAAGACCTCAAGTAACTAACTCTACAAATTCTTAATAGCTAAATAACTTGCATAACAATGACTGGGATAAGATTTTTGAAGACTAACTAGACTCAGTAAGGAACACTGCTAGTGCCTAGAATAGCAACTTAAATAATCACAAAAATCTGAAAATCACTAGAAAATGCAAAAAAATAAATTATTAACTGTTGTCCTCTTCTCTTATTGACTTTCGTAGTGCTGACAATGATCCTCATATAAACCATTTACATTAATTTTATGCTCTCATAATCCAGATCAGAACCGACAGATGTTGCCAAGGGCTTTGTGTCACTTAAACAGGACCCATTCAATTAGCATGGATTGACCCCACAGTAGACAAAAACAAACCCTTTGGTGATACTGGGGCTAGTTTGAGGTAATGTTCAGGGTTTAGGTCAAGGCTGAACCTCACTGTAACAAGTAGTTATCATCCAATCTATATTATCACTTCAATCCATGAATATTTCCACAATCAAAATATCGACTAGAAACTAATTTTTAATTGATTTCCTAAAGCCATCCACTAGGACTCAGTAGTTGGAGAACTGTTAATGGGAAACCATGTCTGTCACCAAAAAAAAGGATTGCCTAATGCAATAGCTGGTCTCTGCCTTAGAGCCCGCAAGCTATGGATTTTATGTTAGCCATTCAGTCTGATACTGATACGATGAGCCAGGATTTCCAAGTATGCGACATATATAGTCTGCTCATATACAGGTACATACACAGCATGTAATTGTACTAAAGCCCTCAACAATTGCTTGCACTAGACGAGCATGGTTTCAAAACAAAATCATTATGCATCGACCATGTACTGGTATATTGCAGTATCAACCATATCAGTCAACAGTGACAAATTAAACAATATTTGATCGTTTTTCATTGCTGTGTTAAGGCATAAAGGACTGAATCGATCCAACAAGGATGCAGCATGGTTGGTGATACCAAGTTTTAAAACTTTGGCAATAGTACACTGTTTAATATTTAAAAAAAAACTGTCATGGTGGAGAGCATTCATATATGTTGCTTCAAAATATTGATCAAAACCTCAATAAACATCTAAACATAATCAACATATTAGGGAAAAATGAACTGCTTACCTGGGCTCTTACGTCACCACCATGTTGCACCCAGACATCAACAATAAGCCGGTATGCTTCATCCCGAGTCAAGAAAGACCCAAAAAAGTACTGCCAATTATAAATTAAATATACAAGAAATTTATAGCCAACAATGAAATGTCCACTGTTTCTATTCTCTGAGTAACCAGCAAATTAATAGCACAAATGACCTTAAAGGACAAACTACGTCAGAATGTGTACAAATGGAAAAAATGGATATTGATTGACCCAAAGCTTTGTTACCCTTTTCACTCCAGCAAGAATCTCAATGGCATTATGAAATATTGCAACTGTCTTTGCTTTACGAACACAAGTTACCTCATGGAAAGGAATTATTTTCTGTACAACAAAACCATATTAATACATCAAATTGTCCAGTCAACAATAACAACAAAAGCTTGCAACTATTAGATCAATTATCAAGAGCAGAATGGATGACTGTCAGCAACATGCTAACTTCTACCCCAGTCATGCCAGCCAAATGCTAATTTCTACCACAGTCAAAAGGATGAAAGAGATAATATGTATGTCTCTAGAAACATACATCAGAAATAACCAAAAATAGTACGGATAATGAGGCAATCTCAACCATTGAACCTAATTCCCACATCCATTCAATTTTTAGATTTAATTACCTAGGAAAATCAGTAAGCAGTTTGATTCTTGCCAATAGAATAGCAAACAAAATGTTGACACAGTTAGACTTAAAAAGTAACTTTTTATAGGATAGTTTTTACTTTTTAATGGGTCGGTATGGCTGTAAGCCAACATATAAAACCAATTAACATTTTACAATGTAAACAATTTTCAGAAAATGTTGTTGCAACCAAGTCAACATGTTCTAGTAATACTAGAATATAGCCATAGATTGTACTGAATCCAAATCCAGCTCTAATCGGATTCACTCAAATATTATCCAATTCCTTGTCATCCCTAGAAACAATCCAGTGCATTTAAAATTCAAGGCTTGAACAATAATGAAGCTAGAACACTGGTTAAAAAAGTTCAATAAGCACATGGTACATAGATGAGAAGTATGTACCAGGAGAAACTGATTATCCAATTCAAATGGAAAACATTAAAAATCAAATGATAAGTGTCTGTAAGAATAAACAAGGTATCTCTACTGAAGGCCAAAAGGCATAGGCATTAACGATAACAAAAAAGTGAATAAGACAGTAAAAGGCTTGCATATAATTATCACTCTATGTAGTAACTGGTATGTAGCATTATCTGAGAAACAACAGCAGAAGCTCAAACATACATAAGAAATTCAAAACATGCTCATGGCTCTCAAAAAAAGAAAAAAAATATCAACTCAAATAAATTTTGGTCAAATATCAAACAAGTGTCACGTTACATAACATCAAATGAATGTCAACAGGAATCTTTACTATATGTGCTGGCATACCAGAACAAGAAAGAAGTTCAAAGAATTTAAATAGTTGAACATATTCCATTTTTACCTTCGTCTCAAATCCAAAAATGTTGGAATAAAAGCAGATGTGGTGGGTAAACAAATACATATGCCCCTGTGAGAAAAACCAAAAATAACACACATTACTATAAATCTAAATCATTTGTTACCATCATGAACAAAATGGTGACTTGTGCACTTGTCAATCTTAAGTAAAACAAGAAGCCATAATGTCCCAACTATTTGGGATTGGCAAATCAAGGCATCAAAATGAAAAGGATTAAGTAATTCAGCAGCCAGGTAATCCAAGCATGATAGATAAATACACGAAAAGCAATAGTACCTGAAGAAGAATATTTTCATGGATGGCGCAATTAAAATCTTGAAGAAGAACCTATACATATAATGTTCACAATTAGAACCTTCACTAGACAAGAACCAGAAAGAGAATAAAACTGCATATCGTAAATGGATGACGTAGTTTGTCACATAGACAAGAATGTAATGTAAAGCCTACGATGAGTGCCATGACAGAATCAAAATTTTACCCTGTATAACAATGAATCAGAATGTCCTGCTAGGCAATTCATGGAGAAGAGAATACATGAAAGAAACTACAGTCCATACCATGAGCATATACAATGACGAAGCATCTGAAACGAAAGTTATACAATAACTAATCCATCAACACGAAATCAGGCTTACCTGACAATGTGTGTGACATGCTTCTCGTATTTTAAATGTCAAAATGATATCATAGCAATTCTTATATTTATTTAGAAGCAAAACAAATAATTTATCACCGTGAGAAGGGTAAACTCTGGGTAAACATAAATGTCTTCATGTACAATTTATTGATTCCAAGTGAAATGTCCAAGCCGGTGAGACGAAAAAGAAGTCTGATTCTGTGATACTATTGTTGTTCAGCTCCAGAAATAGTTGTAAAGAACATTTACTCAATTAAGTTTTCTTAATATAAATCTAAAAAACAAAATCGAAAGTTTGGAATTGAAAATAGGATAAATAAATTCGCCCACTGAACTCTGATATTGAATCTAGAATTGCCCGAAGATAATGAGCCCAGAAATATCTGTAGAGAATGTCCGCTCATCATCCATCCATCATTGTTAACAATGAAAAAGAAACACGTAATCCTAGCAGAGTTTCCACACAAATCTGAATGTAAGAACTCAAAAGAATACCACAAAACCTACAAGCTAGACGAAAATAACATGAACAGCACAATGGTAACAAAGTATCGGCCAGATTAAAACTCGAATCCCTCTTACATCATCGGGCGAAAGACGGAACAGAAACCTGTACTCCTCACTCCTCGTCGACAGGACCTGGGTCAATCAAAACAATCAACACCAACAACCGGCAATTCTGAGCCCAATTCGAACTCGAAACCAAAAAATGTCGTAAGTGAGACGAAGAACGGAGCGTCCTACCAGAGATTCCGCGTCCTTCCGGTCGGAGGGCTCGCTGGACTGCGCCGACGACGTCTCGGAAGCCGCGTCCCCGTCGGGCTTCGCGGCCGTCGGCGCCGGCGAGGGGCGTTGCGCCTCCGGATTCTCCGGCGGATCGGTGCCCATGGATCCGGATCCTAGGGTTCCGATCGAACAGGAGGGACAGGTGAGGAGTGGACCTTTGGCTGTTACTCGGGCTCTCTAAATTAATGAGTAGCCAGTGTCGTCTCCACTCCCCGTGTCCGTTATATAAAGAGACATGGAAGAATGCCGGGGGGAAAGCGAGGCGAGGACGCCTGCAGAGGGGAGATGAGTGCACGAAAGGCACCGGTGCCCGTTTTGGAGGGGACCCGATAAGGGATTAAACAATACGAGCGCAGCGTTTTCCATCTCCGTCTTCACCCTTTCCGGTTTCAGATTCGGTGAAAATATATCCGATTCGGATCCGATAGTAGAAGACCGCTGTCCAAATGAACGATTTAATGTGCACTGTTTTCTACATTAATTATATATATATATATATATATATATATATATATATATATATATATATATATATATATATGCTGCATTTGCAGGTGGCAAAAAGGGAGCAACGAATTAGATATAGAATGGATATGGAATTTTAGATGATAATTACTAATATCATATGAATTGAGAATACCAAGAGAAACGTAATGCAATTGAATATATATATATATATATATATATATATCCAAATAAATATGAATTGATTTGAATTCGTAGTGTGTGATTGTGAGTAGTATTGTCGGAAATCTTCTTCATTTGATGAATAAAAGATGCTGATAACTCCAACTGTTGGTCATAACAGCTGTTCAATTCGAAATGATAGTTGGTGCCGAGGGCCGGTAAGTTGACAGTAACTGTAGAAAAGTTGTCATGGACCTCGCGAGATGATGACGGCAAAAGTTCGGATCGAATGTTATTCCCGATAGAACCCGTCAATATGATCCAAACTACAATTGAATATAACAATATAATAATTTACATCAACAATTTTAATATTAATTTTATTGGGAGAAACAAACTTAAAAAAATAAATAACATACAGAATATATATTCTCATATAAATTTAGAAAAATTTATATATTTTTTTCATTCTCTTTACAAAATCATATAGCACCTTTATAGACATCCCAAAAATATCCTTATATATCATATTCTATAAGTCTAAAATATTTTATATACATAAATAACATCATCTTTAAACATCATTGTATATCTTTATATATAAATATAAAAAAATTACATATTTTCTTTCACCCTCTTTACAAATCATATATAGTATTACTCTCTTTACAAAAAATCATATAGCACCCTTTATAGATACCCCATTGAGAGAAAACACCCTTATATACTATATCATATAAATAAAAAAGAATTCATATATTTCTCTCGCTTTATAGATAATAGAATCTCTAAACACCGCAAAGCAACCTAGTATACCCTTGCAAATAAATCAAAAAAATTATTATTATTTAAATATATAGTGCTCTTTTTAGACATCTCACACAGATTCTCGATAATACTCAGAATATCCTTATGTTTTCTCTCTATCAGAATAAAAGATACATAAGATATTTATAGAAGAATTAGCCGATCAATTCTTGGATAAGCTGGATCAAGTTATTTGTAATATAATAAAAGATTACTCAAATCCCTTGAGTTTGTACTTTTTATTATTTATTTAATTGGAAATTTACTTCAATCATGAAATTAGAATTTAGGATGGATTTAATAATAAATTAAAGTAGATATAATTTATATAATTACCATAAATATCTATGCCTACAATGTTGGTTGATATCACCATCCTTTTTACTTCATATACAAAATTTTTAAATTAATTTTATTATTTTAAATTTTTAGAAACAGATGACTATAGTTACCTAAATCATAAATGATCGACCGACCCATGTCACAAGGCTGGGTCGGATCGCTTGCTGGTTCGGTTCTGCGTATTAACCCGAAGGATTAAGTATTAATCTCCGGTCGTGTAATTAAGTCATCTTCATGAGGTCGTGATCGGTCCAAAGGATTACGTATTAATCTTCAGTGGTGTATGTAAGTCGTCTACATGAGATTGTGATCGAGATGATATGATTTAAAGAATTGATGTATAAACAAAAAGACTCCACGCATATATAATGCGAAACGCATAACCAACATTAGAATTGATCCAACTGAACCAATGCTGAAAACAATAGAAGTGGGTTGGGTTCATTTATGGAACCGGTTCAAGCATGATTAAGTGGCTTATGCCGGTTTGGAAACGCGTCGGGTACCGTACCGGATCCGGCGATTAACCCGATTTTATCGGGCTCGGGTTCGCTACACGGTCTCCTCATCGTTGTAAGTTATGCTATTATATAGAAGATTCGAGGGATGATGGGCCGGCGTTCTGCACTCTTGGCGTGCAAGGAACGATGGCGTCGGCGTCAGAGAAGAAGAGATGGCTTCCCCTGGAAGCAAACCCCGATGTGATGAACCAGGTCTATTTCTCCTCCTCCTCTCGTCGTTCCAGAATTTTGATGCCTGTAGCCGTTCTTCATCTCTCGGGTGTCAACAATCTGCTGATCATCTTGAACTCACAAAACAATGGAGATCCGATCTCCATTTTCTCCCCTTCTCAAAATAATCGGAGAATCGAACTTGTTGTTTGCCGAAAGAACCAAAAACAGGAAGCGAAGGAACTAGGGTTTCTCGAGTTATCGTTTGGGTTCGATTCTGTGCATGCCGGATGTTCTGGTTATTGCGGAACACAATGAAAACGACGGTTCTGGGTTGCTTCGTCGGCAAATGTTTCCGCAGAGTACAAATCGGATGAACTGGGATCTAATATTTTGCTTTACGTCTCAGTTCATTTGGGGTCTTGGGGTCCCGGAGGACGTAGCTGAGTTCAATGACGTGTATGGCTTGGACGAGGAGCTCTTGGAGATGGTCCCGAAGCCTGTGCTCGCCGTGCTGTTTCTTTTCCCTTACTCCAAGGAGGTGACGTTGTCCATGTTTTTTTTGTCTATTTTTTGTTTTAATTTAGTTTTGGTTGCTAAAATCAGGTTTGATTTCCTGATTGGTCCAGGCTGAAGCTGAGAGGATATCCAATCAAGAGAAGGCATCGGGGAATGAAAAGAAGGTATGTAGTGCATAGTATAAGGTTGTAGTTTATCCGGTGTATAGTATCAGGATCCATCTTTGTGAGGGGTTGAGATGTGGTTAGTTGTAGTTTGATACATGTCTGCTGTGACATTTGTGCATTTATGTGTATGAGACTCTAAGATTTGAACTTATGATAATTTACCTAATATTACTATCTGACCAGGAATTCCCAACTTCTCTTTGTGGGTTGACATCTAGTTGTTAGCTTGTTATTTAGATGTCCCGTATATTTTAATGGAGCTTTTGAATCAGTTGTCATCTGTTGCTGTTGCTGTTGCTGCATGACCGCATGGCAAATTGTGGTGACCTAGAACATTTATACATTAGCAATAATGAGTGATACAGAATTTTTTTAATCACATGTAGGTTTGCATTACTCGAGAAATGTTCTGGCTAAATCCTTCATAAGTTTCTACTTGGTGTGATACGAACGCAATAGGCTTTCTTTCTACTTTGTTGTGAGCTGGAACAATTGCAAAACATTTAAGGCTTCTGTTGGGGAGGATATTTGTTTGTTTTGGGTCGTATGCAATTAGGATTTAGTGGAAGAAAGAGTATGACTCAGATAATTAATATTTTCCTGGGTCACAAAAGAAAGCTGTGATTATAAACCCATAAACATATTATTGTGTTTGGGATTGGGTTATATGTTACTGTCTTGTCCATCCTTCTAATAAAAAGCTGTGTATTTAATATGATTTATCATAAGCATAGTTCTTCTTCCAACATGCGTATCTAATGGTTGGAGTGTCATTATTTTTTAAAAAAATTCTTATGAGAAATCTTTACCATAATAAATGCATTTGGATGGATAGATTATAGGTCAAAGCTTGAAACAGTGCAGTTGATTTAGAACCTTATCAATGATGGCGAATCAAATGAAGCTTTTATTTGGAAGTTTTTGTTTTGGTATAAGTTTGAAATGATTGCTTTTGCTATATCTGAATAAGAATATTTGATTGTTATGCTCATTGAATGGAAAAGGGAAAATTTTATGAAATTTGAAGTTACCCAACTTTGCAAAATTAGTAATATTCAAATAGGATATCATGCATCATATAAATGTGGATTGTATAGTATGATAGCATATACATTGGAGTTGTTTAGGTTCTTTAGAAAGCATATGAAAAAATATATATTTAAAAAAAAAAATTGCTTGGCATCGTTTTTGAGTGACCAAAGTTTCTCATTCATTATATATTAACAAGCTCCCAATCAACTAGAACTGGTCAGTAGCAAAAGATCAAAGCTTTAGCTATCTAGACCAGTGGGACACTGATGTGGTTGTTGTTTTCCAATTAATTACAACAGGAAAAATGATTTCTTCATTAGGAAATTAAATTACATAACCATTATAAGTTCTTGTTGGTAGATATTGTCCAGCGAAGATGCAATATTTAATTTACCATAGTAAAAATCTAGCATAAATACAATGTCATCTTTCTCTATACGTTTATTTAAGTAATTCTCTAGGTTGAGGCTTCCTGGCACCGATATTCTATTGCTGTGTTGGAGTTCACTTTTTAGAGTCATCTGATGCTGATATGATCTGTGTAACTGTAATCAAACCAATTGTAATTGTGATTGGCAGGAGCCATCTTAGTTTAGTTATTATTTTTTTATTATGGGTTAAGGGTGTGCACTCTGCTAAAATCTACTGGAAATCAGTTGGTGGCGATAATTATCAGTTGAAATCTGGTGGAGCCAATTAATATAAGTTGAAATCACCTAAGTCCTTCGGTATCTATAGACTGTTCTTGATAGAAATCGTGACTGATTTTAACAAATTAGAACTTGATCAACATGGACCTTTAGAGATTTGCCAATTTTGGTAAAGATTGGTTTTATTCGTCTATCTTACTAATTATACAAGAAGAGGAAGGGAAAGCGAGCACATGGAGGAGATAAAGAAGGAAAAAGGAGTGGGAAAAGAATCGTAAAAGGAAGTAGGCCAGATTTTTGGTCACTGTTTGTTGGTGAAAACCAACATTTAATAGGATGGCTTGCTTTGCAAGATTCTAGAGGAATGACACTGAATGTTCCATTGCTATTTTTGATGAAAGGATGTCCCTTTGCAAAGTTGTTCATCTAATTCTGGAAATCATGTATATGTCCATGTATACGTCAGAGAGATCTCAACCAGAGTTTCTTCTGCTTGCATGATAATCATATGATTTAGCTGGGGCAATCACTCTGGAATTTTATGTAATGTTTCCTCCTTTACTGAGACTAATGCATTTGGCTGTTACTCAAGCATTGCAAACTTTTTGATCCTTTAGTTAAAACATCAGATTTATGATCATAGTATGAACGATGAAACTCCCTATTAATAAGGAGAACACATGCTAAAAGGTTTCATGTCTTGCTCTTTTTTTATTGTGGGATCTTCTTTGAGGTTTTTATTTCTTCATTCTGTTTGCAGAAACCAAGTGAGAAGGTGTACTTCTTGAAACAAACTGTGGGTAATGCTTGTGGAACAATTGGTGTTCTTCATGCTTTAGGAAATGCAAGTTCACATATCAAATTCAGTAAGTCCGTGCTGCAATGCTTTTATATCTGTTTTTTAGCTTACTGAAACTTCTAGTACTCTATCTGAAGTCATTGGTAAAGATACTAGGCAAGTTGCTATAGCTTAATTATTCTTTTCATGAATGAGAGTGAATAGACACTGCTATTGGTACATGCATATGCAGGAACATGCATGTAGAAGATAATTTGCAACGATTTTTTTACTGATCTAGGTCATGATTTAATATGTTGAGGTATTTTGGTAGTTTATATACCGAAGACTTCCAAAGGCTAAATATTCAGAATAAGTAGTTGTATGACTATATGCTTTGCTTTTAGTTTTTTTACTTAGTATGTTCTGATATTATGACATTGGTATGACCAAATTATTATTGATAAGAACTCCACTCCTAAATAAATAAGCTGATATAGCTACTTTGACCAAAAGATGATTATGCTGTTTTTTTGGAGAAATACTATGTTTAGTAGCACATGTTGCTCCTTAGACAATCATTGACTCCCTCCCTTGCTCATGTCTGGTTGCGTCTAAAATATGCTTTGAAGAAAAAAAAATAACATCCAGCTGAAGGTTGATCTTACATGCATGCACTTCCTTAATGGATTTTATGTATCTTTGAGTTCCATATTAAATAGCTAGATTATCATTCAATTGCAAGGCCTATAACAAATGCCTTAGATGTTTAATTATAAGAGCTGCCTATGTTCTTGTGAGTGTGGGACTTGGTGACCTAGTAAGGTTGCTCTTTTGTTCTTGGGTGACAAGGATTCAAGGCTTGGGAATAGCTTTTGGCTTGCATATTGACCCTCTCTAGACTTCACATTGTCAAGCACCTCATGCATTGAGTCATTCTCTTTTATGTTTTCTTTTTGTGTTATAGTGTTTTTTTTTTGTTTTTGTTGAACTTTTTTTAAATTCCTACAACTCAAAAAATCATGCAACTTTCTTTTTGGATTTTCTTTATGCAGTTGAGGAATCATTTTTGGATAGGTTTTATAAATCAACAGCCAGCTTGGATCCATTTGAGGTCGAAATTTTATTATTTTCTAGTAAGTTCTCCAATTATGTGACTTTTTGATCTGTTGTGACCCTTCTTCTTGTCAGCGTGCTGCCTTTCTGGAAAAAGACAGAGAAATGGAGGATGCACATTCTGTTGCAGCTACTGCTGGGGACACGGAGGTTATATTTTGCCTGTTAATCTTTGCTATATTTCACTTGCAATATTTTACTAAGACTTTTAAAGCTGTTGCTGGATTTAGCTATGCATTTTAATGTTATCATTTTAAAGGTTCTTTGATACTATAAAGACTTTTGCTTTAATAGTATTTTTTGTGGAACAAACAACTTGAGATGTTAAGATGGTGGTTGGCAGTTTGTCATAGGTAGGCCTCTTAATCAAATTCGGTTAGAGATTCAATCCAACATTAAATGCATTCTAGTTATAGAGAGTCTTAAAACAGTTTTAAACATATAAAGCATTTGAAAACTAGAGATTATCTAGCATAGCTAAATGTCCAGTAGATATTGGTTTGTACTGATTCATGCCAAATCAGGGTATTTGTAATGGAGAATCTGACCAGTTGCCAGTTGGAAGGGGAACGCTTAAAATTGAAAATGAGAGGAAAAATGAAACAATGGCTGTTGGGATATCCTTCTTTTTAGGTGCAAAATAGAAAGGGGATGAAGAGCTAAAGAAAGAAAGGGAAATGAGGGAAAAGACTGATTGCTCATTTCAATGTTAGGATTCCTTTTTGGCAAGAGTTTTTTTGCCTATTCAAACCTGTTATCATGTGAAGCCTTTTATGCAAACCATGTACTTCCTTTTTTCCTCAGTAGTCAATTAGTTTATCAAGCCATTATGTTGCTTCAAGTTTCCAATATGTTGTCTTATGTAGTCGATGTTATTTATAAGTTTGTCATGATGTCCTCCAAATCTTACTTTGTGTCTTAGTGCCCCGACATCTTTGGCAACTTTTGGTCTGTTTTCCTGGTTTCTTTGCTAGTGAGGACATAAAGGGACTTCATTCTTAGATCGACCTAGTTCAGAGATTCTTCAACCTAAGGTAGTATTTTATGCTGTTGAAATGGGTAGCATGGATTGTATTTCTTTATTAGGTTATTGAGGTTCTCTCATGAAAATGGATCAGTAGCAATGTAGTACAGATGGGACAGGCTCAATGCATAAAACATGTACTTTGATCAATACTTTTCTTTGCTGTGCCCACAAACCAAATGTGAATACTGAATTGGGCCTGCTTGATTTCTGATATAGCCTGCCATATAATCCACACCATTCAAGGCAAATTGGTAACATAGATTCTTGGTAGACAGTTTTGGTGATTAATAATAATTAGATTCTGCTATTTTTAATTTTATGGGCCAGTTACATCCTGTATATTTCTTGTATCTGTTTCTAAAATATGTTTGCAATTGTTTTGCCAGGCTTCTTCAGAAGTGGATGAACACTATATTTGCTTTACATGTATAGATGGTAGGGATGATGAAATTCTCCTATAATTCTTCCTTGTTGATTGGAAATTTATAGGATTCATGTCATAAATGGTCCCTAAACTATACCTTAAATGGTAGCCTTAGAATTTTATTTTGTTCAAGTTAGTCCCTGAATGTTAATGAGTTTGGCATAGTTTGTTCCCTACCCGCTAAACCTATCTAGTTGGCCATGAACAGTGGTTTGTATTTTTTTGATATTTGAATCATTTGGCTATCATTGTCCGTCAGTCATCATCACAAATTAGGGCTTGGAGTGGTCAGGGAAGAGGAAGATGGGAGGGGATGGAGGGGAGGAGGAAGATGTTTCATCTTCATCTCGATCTATCTCTTGACTTTGTATTTTTCCTCTTCATCTCCCACTTCCCAACTCCAGCCTTATTTCGGGTTGACTGACGTGGTAAATATGGTCATGTCAGCAGCCAACTACCAAAAAATGTTTTTTAATTCCTAATAAGGCCATCTGAGCCCACTTCAGGAGTTTAATGGTGCCAGGCTGACAATGCCTATGTTTGATGGCCAGTTTGAACAAAATAAAGTTTAGGCTTTGATGCCATTTCAGATATAGTTTAGGGATATTTGTGCCACTGATCCTTGTTTAGATTAAGACACTGCTATTATTCTATCAGGCTTATGCATAATTGTCTTGTGTTCATCTTTTCCCAGGAGAACTTTATGAGCTTGATGGAATGAAATCCCAACCTATAAGTCATGGTCCTTCATCGCCTGACAGCTTATTGCAGGTAATGCATATATTTTATCTTACTTTTGGTTATAGTCTGCATTGTTTAATCCTGTGGTGGAAGATGCATAATTGTAATGAACTCAATCAAGCTATATACCAAAGGATGCATATGCTCCAGAAACAATTTAGGTAAAAAGAATGTCTGAGCATTATCTAAATTTCTTCGACCTATTTTTGCCATAGGCATTAAGATGATATTCTATGTAAAACCATGTCGTGCTCGAAATTAGTTTTTTCATGTCAAACCATTTTTTGTGCATCTTCTCTCCACTCTTCTTTCTTTTTTAAATTCTAAGACACGTGATTAGGCTTACTTGTTACTTGGGGCCTCAGTAATAATTAACATTGGAAACTTATCTACTATTAAATAATGTCATCCACTGTTAAGTAATGTCAGTGGTTCTATAATTTTGTCCCCTCCAATCTGTCTGTGGTTACCTTTGTTAGGATGTAATAACACGAAGCTTACGTTTGTTAGGATGTAATAACACGAAGCCATGTCTCAACTAGTTGGGGTCAATCTTTTCTGTCGTTGAGATAAAAGCAATAAAACCTTTAGTGTTAAAACATTTGTTACCTTATAACTGTGTTCATGTACTAAACCAAACCTTTAGTTCTTTCGTCGTCTAAATTGTCTTGATGTCCAGAAAGTTAAGTTGACAGTTGGGAGTTGTGGTAACAACTGCTGAGAGAAAATTGGTTACCTGGCAAGTGTACTCGTTATCATTTTTTTCATTGTTCTTTCCTCAAAACTTGCTCAAGAAAGGCCACTGACTTATTGATGCTAGCATTCAGTTAATAGCTTGGAAAAATAACCACAAAATAACTTTTTTGATTCATTCTATATGAGCTTTTGGTTGAGAAGGGCTTGGTGATATCATTGGTAATAAGATGGGCACTGTTTCAAGTCAGGTATATGGTAGGAAGGATAAACTTATTTTCATTCACAAGATGATATCATTTTATAGTACGCAGATATATAACTTAAATTCTTTTATATTAATGAAAATATGGGTACATTTGGTTTTCTTGAAAATCAGATATCTAGTTGAAAGGAAGTCTTATGAGATCAAAGTTGTCTGTCTCCCTGTTGAACAACAGCTTGCGTTCCAGCAAAAATAATGTATTCTATTTCTTATATGATAAGTTAATACAGTACAGTAATTACCAAGTCTTGTTCAAAAAAACTGAACCGCTGAATGCATTCAAACCAATTATCAGCATCATAAAAAAATTTCCGACAGAAATCCTAGGATCAGGTGTCATCTTCAGAGGTTTTGTTGTCATGGATTTTCCTTTTATGCTCTTGCTCTTATATATTTATTTGTTTTCACCAAAATGAAGGTACCTATTCTCTTTGTTCAACAGGATGCAGCTAAGGTTATAAAAGCTCTGATCTTGAAGAACCCCGACTCAATGAACTTCAATGTCATGGCTCTGTCGAAAAATTCAGGATGATCCATCTGATATCGCACTAATTTTGCTGTCTACTATCTAATCCAGCACCGTAGTCGTCGGATATTATGTTTTGTAGTAGCGGCAGATTGACGTCACCCCTTACTGAGATTTTGTATTCGCAGGATCCCAGATTGACGTCACCCCTTACTGAGATTTTGTATTCGCAGGATCCTGATATCGATGATGACTGGTCTCTGAGCCTCTGGTATGGTTAATAAATCTTATTTCTCGTTATCAGGTATCGGCACTTGATAGTTCCAACTTCCAACAATATTTGGTCCGATGTGGCTATGTGATGCACATGCAGAACAGTCTTTTACACAAATTATCTTTGCAGATTTGTTAATCTCAGGGAATGATTGGAAATGCTGATGCCTGACATGCAGTATTGAATTCAAGCATCAGGAGGTAGCTTTGATTTCAACATCATCATCACCACGAGAATCAACAAAGGTAGACGTGATGGCTCATTCCATTTGACACCAGGTGTTTCAATGCGACTCCGAGTATCAAACCTCTGTTGTATAGCGAAACCACGTCACTAAAGAACGGCTCTCACCAGGATGCATAGAACCACATAAACCCCGTATCACTGCAGGAAGTAAAAGGAAGAAAGGAAAACCTAGTAAGAGGCCGCCGTATATCCGGGAGGCCTTCTGCCCCGAGGTGAGGGAGTTGCCAACTGCTGGTTCTGTGCGAACCAGCAGGTCGGCCACGTCCAGTCGTCGGGAAGCTTCCGAACTGTAACCAGGGTGGAATCGGGTACGACGACGGGTTGCCGGCGGCCTCGTCGTAGCGGTGCCCGCACGATCGGCACTCGTAGATGCCGGTGTTGAGCATCGCGAACCGCTCCTCGTGACGGCGAGGGTCGAGCTTCTTCACCTCCTCGTCTGGTGGTGTTGGCTGAGGCGATCGGCTGTTGCTGCTGTCCTCCAGTAGACATCGATGGAGAACCTGGCAGGTTGGTTTCTTGAATCTCTCATAGGAGAGGAAGAGGCAGAAAGGACTCTAAAGTGAGGCAGGGCAGAGGGAGGCTGGTGTTCGTGGGCTTGGAGGGGTAAAGACGGTGGAGGCAGTGGAAAGGGGTGGTCAGTCTTGCTGAGGCCATCTCTTCTATTTTCTCTCTAGAATCAGATGCGAGGTTTCATCTGTTGCGAGCGATATGCTTGTCCACTCTGCTTCTGGCAGGGAAGGGAGAAGGGGCGAAGAAGGGCGGGAGGAGGATAAGGTGCGGTGATGAAACACGACACACCACCAGCAGAATCCCCCGCATGTGGAACGAGGAACCTGATCGGCCACACGTCACTCACTCAAGTGTGCAACCGTGCGAACAAGCGTCCCGTATGAGCCCGATTTGTGGAACGGATCTTAACCGGATCACAACTCGGGCTGCGCGTGATTTCAGTCTGTTACCAATTCAGAATCCGATTCGTATTCCAATCATAAGTCCAACCTCACCTTACACTATCCTAAGTGAGTTGAGATAACATATGACTCGTGTCATCCTCTCTTGATGCCCCGTATATCTCGCGATCCTGTTTGATTCCGAGTCGAAATCTAATATGATTCCTGTAGATACATTCGGTAAACGTTCTTGTTTCCTTATCTAATGCCAATCAACATCAATATCAAATCTATCGAGTTCGCCGACTCCTACCCTTACGGTCTCTTCCTTCACTCCGTCTATATAGTAAGCTCTCTCTCCGTCTCTCCAGAAGCTGCAGTACAGACCCGACATGGCATGTAACCATCATATAGAGGTTGAAGACGACTCCGAGATGAAGGAGAAGAGAGATTGGTCCGGTCGCTTGCCGCGCCTTTCCATGGGGAGATGTAGCCGCTGCGGCCAGCCGTTGGACGACTCAGATCAGGTGATGTCATCGTCGAGCATGGCGTCGGCAGAGAGGGAGCGGCGACCAGATCGAGCACTGGAGACGAAGGGGAGCCACGCTGCGCCGGCGGAGTGCCAGCTCGTAGTCCGGGTGCCGGGTGGGTCCGGGCCGATAAGCCTGAACAAGGAGGAGGTGAAGGCGTGCCGTGATCTCATGATCGGGTTTCCCTGCGGCCATCTGAGGGTGGAGCTCCCTGTAGCGTTCTCCGACATGCAGGCGGACGCCGCCGGCACCTGCGACGACCTTTCCCCGGTCGCCAACTGGAAGATCGCCAGCCCAGGTTCGATCAATCGACTGAAACTTGAAAGAAAATATATATGGCCTCAATTAATGGGAAGTAAACATGGTGACTGCATCTCCACATCTATTTTCTCTTCTACAATGTTGCTAATGGAAATAATGACAATGATGTGTAATGATGAACAGATGACGACCCGGAGAAGATGAAGGCCAGGATCAAAGTATGGGCTCAAGCCGTGGTTCTCATGTCTGCTATGAAGTCACCCCGCTGACCACTTGTTGTTTGCTCATCGACAAAAGCACATGATGATACGTGTAGATCTTGACAGCCGCATCTACATTCCTTCAGTCAAAATTTGTAATGATTTCTTGATATTTCTCTTTACAAAGTCTCTCTCCAATGAAAAGCTTCGAACTAAGTTGGGACTTTCAGATTTAAAGTATTATATTATGATATTTTAAGATTCTTATTTTTTATTTTTAATTAATTATATAGAATTTCAGAAATAAAAATTTCTTGACTTAAATTATTATATATATATATATATGTATAACATTATTTTTTCTTTATCTTAGGCAAATAATAATTTACTATTACGATCTGAGAAAAGATTACATCTCTCTTTCTTCACATAACTGTGCCAGAAGAGGATCCGTGCTCTACATATAACTTGGTTCTGGCAATACTACAAACATATAGATATATGGAAGCTGTAAACGAAGCAGCATCATTTTCTTCCATCTGCAACCCTTGGATTGCTGGCTATCCATCAGTTAACTTATCCGGAGACACAAGACCATTGAGAGAGCGCTCGGCCGGTGCATCAGTACTCTCAGCGTCTTCCACAGTGGCCGCCGCTGAACCTTCCGCCCTGTACTTGTACCATTTGGCACACATGAGATAGACCCCAAAGTTGAGGCAGCTCAATACGGCGAGGAAAGAGTAGAACAGTTCCAGGCGGTTCGCGTTCAGATCCAGCCCGTGGAGCCATCCCTGCCGGCTTTGCGTCAACCTCCCTGTGATGCCGTTGATGGCTTGCACGAAGATGGAGCTGAGGAAGTAGCCGAAGGAGAGGGAGAGAAACGAGAGGGATGTGGAGAGGGAGCGCATTCCGGCCGGCGCCTCGCTGTAGAAGAACTCCAGTAGCCCAACCAGCGTGAACATGTCGGCCACCCCGAATATGCCGTACTGGAAGGACAGCCAGAAGAGGCTGATAAGCTTGCCGTCTTGGACGGCCGCGTTGCGGCGCTTCAGCTCGACGGCGGCGGCGATGGCCATGGAGACGGCAGAGAGGACGAGGCCGACGCCGACGCGCTGGAGGTGGGTGATGCCGGAAGGGTGGCCGGTGATGCCGCGTGCGAAGGGGATGAAGACGAAGTTGTAGATGGGGATGAGTATGGACATGAAGACGACGGGGATGACGGGGATGGAGGCGGCCGGGACCTCGAAGGAGCCGAGGTGGAGGTCCATGATGTTGCCCTGTTGCACCGAGAAGGTCTGAAGCTGGGCGAGGCAGGTGTTCATGAGTATGGTGCTGGCCAGGATGGGGAGCATGCGGATGATGATCTTTAGCTCCTCTACTTGTGTTACCGTGCACACCTTCCATGGCTCTGCTCCGGTGTTTTCCGGCAGCACCGCTGCTTTGTCTAAGAACCTGGAGACGACGACCCATCTCTCTTCATTCCATAGTAGTACTGAAACCAAAACAGAGCAGACATGTATTTACAGGACATCACCTCAATTGGCTGGAATGTGGTAGCTTTTCTTCGACATGTTCATCCACTTTCTCATTGATCTCATACAGATCATCGGAATTCTGAGGCACGGTCAGCTTCCGATTCTTGAATGCAACAACTACGACCTGAAATATAAGGGAGTCAATCTTGCATTAATCCAGTGGTTCTCTGAGGAGGCGCTACAGACCTGGATGAGCTTGAGGAGGGGGCCGTCTCCTGGAACGCGGACGAGGTAGAAAGGCTTCCCGGCAGCGAGGAAGGCGTAGCCAAGCAAGGCGAGCAACATGGATATCAAGAAAGCCAATGACCACTGTTTCTTCTCGGTGCTCACCCAGACGATCACCGTCACCCCCACAGTGGCGCCCAGAGTGACGCTGAGCAACATAAAGTTGAAGTAGGTGGTGATTTGGTGCTTCTGCTTGGGGTTCTTCTTGTCGAACTGGTCTGCTCCAAGCGCAGGGAACGACCCCCGTGTCCCTCCGAAGCCTATCGCCAAGAGACACAAGGTCGCGTGGAAAAGCAGCGCGTTTCGTCCCTCCAAGCGACATGTCGGGCAAGGATGCAAGCTGCTCTTGTGAGCTTGAACGGCGAGAAGGATGTAACCCTTTGTATGCATGCAATTGGTCAGTACAAGACGAAAGCACAGTCGGTAGCTTACGACAGGTCGATCAAGTTACCGCGATCTCGAAGAACCCGAAGAGAAGAGCCGTGTTGAGCCTGGTCATGTACGTGTCGGAGATGAAACCTCCGACGATGGGGAGCAGGAAGGTTGCACCCACGAAGTTAGTGAGAGTGGTCGAGGAGCCAGCCAGATCGAAGTGCATTACGTACATGAAGTACAGCACGAAGCTCACCATGTTTGCTATGAAGCCAACATTCTCCATCCCCGACATGGCTGTACAACTCCGATTCGTATGAGTGATGCGTTATGGATCCACAAGAGGTGTTCTTTTGAGATTTAGGATGCAAGATTGCTTACCGAAGACGAACATGGCGGCTCTGAATCCACCTTTTCTTGTCTTCCCAGATGTGTGGGGATCGGTACCGGGCTCGTTGACCTCCATGCTCTGACCCTGCATGCATCCATGAAGAAATACATGAGCTGTTAGCCGCAACGAGGAAAGAGAAGAAAGAGCTGATTAGGAGCAGCAGCTACATGGACTGCCATGGTGAACAGCTCGGAGGCTTGCGAAAGCCGGGAGGAGTGGAGGAGAAGCGGTGATGGAGCATGATAAAAAGGTGGAGAAGGCCACATAGTGGACGCCGCCGCACGGCCGGCAGATGGCTTCGAGGTATCCGTCTCCGCAAGAGGCCGAGGGGAAAAACGATTGTAGAGCCGGGCCGAATCACACCTGAGGAGGTTCATGGTCGATGTGGTCATCGCCCCTGAAACGGCCAGGGTGATTCCGCCTGCCCACCAAGGACATCCCACCGCGCTCAAACCCTTTTCACGGGTGGTTCGGTCCACCTAACCGTCCTTTACCGACGAAAATATCCATAAACACGAAAAGAAAATTATATATATATATATATATATATAAACATTATATGTATTTAAAAATATAGAGATATTACAGATATTTTTCAACCATTTAATTCCTTTATATATAAAAATATACAAATTTTCATTTGTATTACTCCAATAAACTTAAATTAATAATTAATAATTATTTTTACTAATGAATTAATAAATATACTAAAATTTTACTAAAGATCATTGAATTAGGAGACCATATGTTTTATAATTTTGAAACAATTTAGTGAAAACTAACTTAGATGTTTGTACAAAGTTGATGCAAATTATATTGGAATTGTAACTTTCACTAGATTCACTGTTTTACAATACATAAACTATTTTACATGTTGAAATAACACAATAAATTTGAGACTAACTTTTAGGTTTGAGTTTTCTCGCCCAAATTTTTATCAAGTGTTTTTGACCAATTCAAAAGCTTAAATGTCAATATA